TGGGTGGCTCGTTGTACACTCTTGCGAACCTGAATACTTCGAAATATTTGAGTTACCCTTTGGGGGATTTAATACGTGAGAAGATGGAGATTGCTGGAATGAAATGGTGAGTTATGGGTTTGTGTATTTGTCTCCGCCCAGAGCGTACTTCCTGGGACCATTGTCCAGTGGGTTGGTTAATCCTGGTCGCTAGCTTATGTGCACTGAACTCGATTGCCAGCTCGCAACCTTTTAATATCTGTTTTCCCTGCGACTGTGGCCCATAGCGCTTATTAATAGGCTTGAATTACACTTTTGCGGCATATGTGTTTACGGTACGGTTTAGAAACGTATGCCGCATCAAGCGAAAGACAACAGACGTTATTACTCAATGATATTCTCGAAGGACAAGCAGTGCTTACATTCCCTTTACTTTGCCAGCACTGGTTAATGTTCCGGAGTTTTTGGACATGGCGGCCTCTACACGTGCAGTAAGAACTTTAAACTTGGCGTTAATGCATGGGAGGGACGAGCCAAGCCGGAGTCCGGGCACACGACATGGAAGGGAGCTCGATATCTTCGAAAGCCCGCCTCCCCTAAAGTATTGGCCCCCTTTCAAGAGTAGGAGCCTGTTGAATGGCTACTGGGAATTATGTTCTCGAATTTAGTTCGTACATGTTCACAATGGACACCTTTTAAACAACGTGTCGGTTTTCGACCATCTCGACAGCGACTCGGTGGACAACGACCGTCTTCGCGTAGTCCTCACTCATGTCCCCACCCAACAGGAACATACTTGCAGTTAAACTGCTTATTTATAGAATAGGCGAGTACGCAGAAGCTATGTAGTCTTCGCTTTGTATGATTAAAAGGGAAGTCTACGATGCAAGGGCTATATTTTCGGGAGTAACTAAGGGTCGCCCAAGTTGGGAGCAACCTAACATAAATAGAGCAAACACATGCGCACACATAAGATCATCTTATCAAGATGTGTGAGAAGATCTTTGCCGTCTTATTAACGAAATCTATTCCTCAGCGAAAGTCCGCTAGTACTACCATAACTACAATCAAGTCCATCTACAAACACCTCAACAAACATGCAGATAGCAGGCACAGATTTCATCGAACACAACAACACTAGCAGCTCTACGCAGCCACATATTAGACAAGTGTATAAGATCGACCCTCCCCCTGATGGTGTGTTCCCTTCTGAAGCTGCAGCGGAGGACGTGATCCACAAGATGACGTTGTCAAGGCGCTTTAATGTGTCTAGACAAAAAGTGGAAAGGAACAAGAATGGCGACATCCGAACAAAACTATTCGCTTGTGATAGAAGTGGAAAACCAAAAAATAATTGTCACCTTCGAGAAGAGGATCATGTTAGAACGATGCGTGGGTCGAAACGAATGGGATGTCCCATACGTATCAAGATTGTAGCAGTCGACGAGAACAATACTGAAGGTCCATGGAAAATTGTACACACCCGCGATGGAAGCACTAAGCACAATCATCCAACGTCTTTAGACGTTCGAGTACACGTTGGTCACAGACAACGCAGCTCGCAGCAA